CGGTCGATCCAGTGCTCTGGCCCTCTGGAGTCCCAGCCCAGTTCCCAGAGCGCCCGTGTGATGGATGCACTAAGACCTCTTCTTTGGGTCCACCTTCTGTTGGCTGGAACCCTGGGCATTCTGAAATAGATGTTTGGCCACGCGCGTCTTATCTGTGCTCGAAGGTCTGGGCTGTGCCCCCAACATTTGAACCAGTTGGCGAAGTGTGCTTTTGCCACGGTGAAGGCCCAGTCGACGCCTTCCAAGTCCCAAGTGCGTGGTAAAGGCACCTTCCAAACCATGATCGTCGCAGTTGTTGTGCGTGTTTGCGTCTCGCGTACAGCAGTGGGGTGGGGGCCGATCCGTGGAATGCCGTGCCGTAGTTGAGCGAGACCATGGCGCCCTGCTGCGTGATGTTGGTCTTCGTCTTGGTTCTGAGTCGTTTCAACTTCCTGCCCACTGCTCCGTGTCTGCGTCGTGCCGCTTTGAGTATGTTGGAGTGTGTTTGCCTTCTGGTTGTGCCTCGTGCTGCCATGTCTGCTCCGAGGTCCCTTTCCTCTGAAGTAGCCTTGAGGGGGATGCCTCGGAGCTGTAGTTGTTTGTGGATCTGCTTGGTGTCGTTGTAATGGATCGACATGAGGATGGTCTTGTCCGCCAGCTTGAGTCCTTGCTCCTCCAGCGCGAGGAAGAAGCTGTTGGGTGGTGCTGACTGTGGCTGGCACGATTTGGTCCCTGCTGCCGACGATGCGAATGCTGATGTCGTCGAACCATGCTCGAAGTATGGGTCGTGGTAGCCGGCTTGTGCTTATGAGCCTGGCCATGGCTGCGTACACCACAGCACATGCAATGTTATTTGCATGGGCTCGCCAAGGAAGCATCGAGGGAAGCGCCCGACGGAGGGGCCGAAACCAGCCACAAACAACATATTCCGTACAGCCGGCCCGCATCATAAAGATGCGCTATAAAGACGCGAGGGCCTTGGAAGGCCATGTCAACGCATCTCGAACGGGGCGCGGCCAGCGAAAATGGCCAAGGATGGACCGAGGAGGCAAGGATGCAAAGGCACCCTGGGTAAACACGCCCATCCTTACCGTGAAGGTTGACTGTATCCTCCCCCTTTCCTGCTTGGGGACAGGAAAAGGCCGATACCGCTACTGCCTGGGCCTCTCCCCGGGTGCGTCCTGGCCAGAATTTCGAAGCGACTCCAGCCGTGGCGACCAGGGCCTCCGAGGAAGCCAAGAAAGGCGCAAACGAGAGAAGGATCGCGGTATCGGTGCCTCCTCCTCTGACATGTACTCCCTCCTCTCATCCGACACGAATCGCGCCCATTCTTGCATTATTAGCGGTAACGACTGTCACTGGCCACGCCCACCCCCGCCCCTCCCGTAGGACCCTTCGTGTGTGTGATTACAACCAGCGTTTTTTCCTCGACAAGCACTGGTAATCCCTGATATGGTGATTCACGCTTTGATTATTCATGAACTTATTTATATCCTTCTCATCGTTCTCACAGTTCTTCTGCATTCACCATCATAATCCTTTTGTAACAGCCTTTACAAAAGGGATTCCAAGTGCGGTGGCTTTGCAAAAAGGCTTTCGCTGTGGGGGGATCTGCAGTGGCGGCACCTTTGGCCCAGGAAAGCTAAAGAGGAAAACAATACAAAAATGAAACACTGGAACAAACATGTGTGCTCATATGGAAATATGCAAGAAAGCTAAGCAACCTGTGGCTGACGGCATTTTCACGGCGCAGACGTTCCACAAACATAAATCTTGTGTAGCAGCCTTTACACAAGGATTCCTTGTGTGGCGACCTTACACAAGGATTTCAAGTGAGGGGGATCTGCAGTGGGCTTTACAAAAGGGAGCTCTTTTGCGGCGGCCTTGCAACACATGTTGTAAGAGTGTGTGGACAGCTGGATAGGAACATAGGACAACCGGGAAACAAACATGACAAGCTTGTGTTTTACATGGAGCATCCGAAACAAAAACTAAGAAAACCTGTGTCTGTCAGCACTTTTATGGTGCAGACGATCTACACCTAAAATCCTCGTGCATGAGCCTGTGAAAAAGGATTCCTCATGTGGCGACCTTACAAAAGGAATTCACGTGAGGGGGATCTGCAGTGGCCTCCACAATTAGAACCCTTTTGCAACAGCATTTACAACGTGAATCATTTTGTAGCGGCCTTACCAACAAAAATCATTGTGCGGGCATCTGAACTGGCGGCACCTCGAGCCAAGGACAGCGAGAGAAGAAAACAGGACAAACAAGGAAAACATGGAAACACTTTTGCTTGCACCCAGGGAAATCGGAGGAGGGTCGGAAGACCTGTGACTGTCGCTACTTCTATGGTGCAGATGTTCCCCTTGTAGCAGCCTTTACACAAAGATTCCTGATGTGGCGACCTTACGCAAGGATTTTGATTGTGGGGGACCTGCAGTGGCCTGGCCTTGCATACGGATTTCAAGTGCGGAGAACTGCAGTAGCCTCCACGCTGAGAGTTGAAGTCCTTGTGTAAAGGTCGCCGCATAAAGATTTTGCGTTGTAGAAAGGCTGCTGCAAGTGGAACGACTGCAACAAAAAAATACCGACAGTCGCAGGTCTTCCAAGCTTTCTCCTATTTTTCCATTGAAAACAGAAGCTGTTCCATGTGTTTCCTGGTTGTCTGGTTATCCTCTCCAGCTTTCCTGGGCTCGAACTGCCGCCACTGAAGATCCCCCCGCAGTGAAAACCCGAGTGCGAGGCCGCAACAGAAAGGATTCCATTATGTAAAGGCTGTAACACAAGGATTCGAATTGTGGAGGCCACTGCCGATCCCCCTCACTTGAAATCCTCATGGAAGGCCGCCACATGAAGAATCCTTGTGTAAAGGCTGCCGCAGAAGCATTTTGGGTAAGGAGCGTCTGCGCTGTGAAACTACCGACGGTCACAGGCCTTCCGAACTTTTTCAGATGTTCCATGTGCAAAACACAAGCTTGTTCCCTTTTTTTTACGATGCTCCTCTGGAGCTTTCCTGGCCTCAAGGTGCAGTCACTGCAGATCCCCCCACACTCAGAACCTTTTTTGTGAGGCAGCCGCAGAATGATTCACTTTGGAAAGGCTGCTACACAAAGATTCAGATTGGAGGCCACTGCCGATCCACCTCAATTGAAATCCTTATGTAAGGTCGCCACATAAATGATCCTTTTGTAAAGGCTGCTACACCAATATGTTGAAGTGTGGAACGTCTGCGCCGTGAGAATACCGGCAGTCACTAGTCTTCCTAACTTTTCCTATTTTCCATTTGAAAACACAAGCCTTTTCATGTTTTTCTTGCTCTCCTCTCTCACTCTCCTAGGTTCAAGGTGCCGCCACTGCAGATCCCCCCGCACTTAAAACCCTGTTGCAAAGCCGCCACGACAGGAATCCCTTTGTAAAGGCTGCTCTGAGAAGATTCTACTTGGGGGATCTGCAATGGCCTCCACAATGAAATACAATCGGAAAACTATGTAAATACAATGAGAAAACATTCGGGATTTCTCCACATCTCTCCTCCCCCTCCTGCAATAAGAACACAATCGACGTGGCGATCGATGATGGAGATGCACAAGAAATCATCAGGACATCCATGAAAAAGACCTTGTTGTAATCATACAAACAACGAGTCGCACTCCACCTCCCCCCCACATTGGTCATGTCACGATTATTCGCGCCAGCGCCGTCTAGGAATTGACCATACATTCCCAAACGGCGCCGGCGCGAATCGTGACGTCACTGGCCCCCATCCCCGCTCCCCCTCCCCTGGTCACACCCGTTATCGTCAAGGGATTAAATATCGCCCGTTATCGTCACTCCCGTTATCGTCAGGGAGTGTGCGGGAACGCTGGATGTTGGCACAACGGCATCCCTTTCCAGGGAGTGCGCGGCCGCGCATTCAGTCTGAATTCAGTCTGAGGGGTGCGCACACCAAATTTTAGATAGTTCGGGGGTGAGCTTCGAACTGATCGAAGCTTATTGGCGGCACTCTCCCAAACATACCAAATTGTCGCATCCTGTCGGCGACTCCGAAGGGTGTGGGTTGCCAAAGGTGTGGTTACAGCCGGTACCCTGGGGGGCACCATGTGGGGCGGGCGGGGACCTCGATCGAGTTCTCCGCCGCGCCCCGAGGAGGCCCGACGATGACAGCGTCGTGCCCCCAGGACCCAACGGCGCCGATCGCAAACCACACCCCGGCGTAACCACACCCTTTGTAGTCGCCGATCCTGGGCAGCCCGGAAGGGTGCAGCGCCGAGGGGCGGCGACGGCAGGAGGGCGGCGGGGTCGGCGACCAGGGGCCCCCAGGACCGTCTGGGGACGGACTGTGTGGTGCCCTCAGACTCCCCAGCGGCCTCACCGCGCGGCCCGCCATCGCACGGTGGGGCCTCGGAGGCCCCCAGTCGCCCGAGGCGCCCTCGGGTCGCCCGAGGCGTCCTCGGAGAACGGCCCGAGTCCCAAAACCGTGCGGTGACTCCCACTCCCCACTGGCTCGCCGCGCGGTGTGGCCACCGCGCCGCTCCGGGGGCCCCCCGGTGCGCGCCCGAGGGAACGCTGCCCGGACAGGAGCGCGGCCGCTGCTCGGCAGGCGACCGCCCGTCTCGAAGCGACCACGTCCGCGGCAGCACCGACAGCGAAGCCGGCCCACGACAGAGAGGAGCTGCTGACCGTCGTCGTCACCGCTCTTCCCGCAGGGGTCTGGCGCTGGGCCTGCGACGGCAGCTCCGCCCCGGGCCCTCTGGGCGGGGCGTGCCATCGGGCCCCGGTGCAGGAGGAGGAGGAGGAGGAGGAGGAGGAGGAGGAGGAGGAGGCGGAGGCGGAGGAGGCGGAGGAGGAGGAGGAGGAGGAGGAGGAGGCGGAGGAGGCGGAGGAGGACGAGGAGGAGGCGGAGGGCCTTCCCCGAGATCGTCATCGTCGACCGAGCCGTGCCGGCGGGCGGCGGCGGCCGGAGGGCGGCGGCCGGCGGGGGCCGGAGCGGCAGCCCCCCGAGGGCCCCCGGGGGGCGCCTCCGCCAGCGCCTTCAGCTCCTCGCCGCGGCTCTTCTGCTCCGCCTGCGGGCGGGCGGCGGGCTCTCCGAGGGCGGCCGGAGGGGCGCGGCCGAAGGGGGGACGGCGGGGCCGAGCGCGCAGCGCCCCTGCGCCCCGCCCCCTCCCCCCGCTGCTCGCCTCTTCGCGCCCCCCTGTAGAAGCATCCCAGATGGGGTCGGAGTAGATGGGGTCGGAGGGTCGCGCCGCATCATCGCTGCATCGCCGCTGCATCGGCGACGTCCTCCCATGGGTGGGGTCCTCGTTTTGAATCCGCAGCGCCGCGCGTCTCCTCCTCTCCTCCTCCTCCTCCTCCTCCTCCTCCTCCTCCTCCTCCTCCTCCTCCTCCTCTTCCTCCTCCTCCTTCTCCTCCTCCTCCTCCGCCTCCGCCTCCGCCTCCGCCTCCGCCTCTGCCCCCCCGGCACGCGCGCGGCCCAGGGGAAGGGACCAATGGACGCGTTGAAATACGATGAGGGTCGAAGGAACAAGCCATGACATAAACATAAACAGTTGGAGGTCCTCGCGGATCTCTTGGACCGGCGCTGGATCCCCCTAACGGCGCCTCTGGCGCCGCTCCTGGCGAGCTCCGCGCGCCAGGTGAGGGGGTCCAGCGCCGCTCCAAGAAATGAGGGCGAACCTCCGACATGCATGTATGTATGTATGTATGTATGTGTGTATGTATGTATGTATGTATGCATGCATGCATGCATGTAGGCAGGCAGGTAGGGAGGTAGGTAGGTAGGTAGGTAGGTAGGTAGGTAGGTAGGTAGGTAGGTACATTATGTGACGTGATGTGTGCATATCTGTATATATATATATATATATATATATAGGTTAGTATTTGTTCTTGAGCGGGCCATGAATTCCCGAGAACAGAATGGCCCCGGCCATGCTACCGCGCCAGTCATCTGGGGGCGGCGAGCGAGGGGGGGACCTCGAAAGGGAGCAAGGCCCTCTCAGACAGCGGCGGGGCTTCTCCGTAGCCCTCCGGGCCTCTGAGAGGCCGCCTGCGCCTTCGGGGGGACGGGTCAGAAAACTGCCCCGGAGGCCAGGAGGCTCGCCCCTCCTCGCTCCCCCCGGGGCTCGCCGCCAGTCACCGCACCCCCGAGAGCAGACCGCCTGGGCCTGGCCCCGGACGGAGACCCGTGGACCCTCCCCTCGGCCGACCGGAGCCTCGAGGCCTTTTTTCTGCAGTGCACCGCCGACGCCCAGGCGCTGGGGGGGGGGAGGGAAAGAGCGGCGCCCTGGTGGGGTTGTCTTATCATGCATGTTGCTGTGTTGCTGTGCATTATTCACCACATGAATTGCTAGCTGTGTGTACCAGTTCTCTTAGAGTCGATCTTTTGACACCGCTTGGACCCTAAAGTGCCCCTTCGGGAGCCCTGGAGAGCCCCTCCTCTGCAGCCCTCGCCCTCGCTGCCACCCCCCCCCCATTGATCGACCTCCCTTGGCGCGACGCCCAATCCAGGCGGCAAAGGACCGCTCCCCGAGGTCGGCGGTCGAATCTCGGCGGTGGACAAACCTCCCTTTCGTGAACCTCCCTTGAATGAAAACGGCCTGGAGCCGAAACCGACGGACCTGGACCCGCAAAAATGACGGCCGCAGCGCCCTCTCCCGAACCGAACACGGCCAACTCGCTAATCGAGGTGTCAGGGTAGGAGGTCCGTCCACCCCCGATAAACGGGGGGGGGCCCGGAGAACGAGGCCCGAAGGGCAGGAGGTGGAGGGCAGGCGGAGCCTCCACTCTTCGGGGCTCTGGTCCTGGCGGCCCCGTCCCTCGGGGCCCCATCCTTGAACTGCTGACAAAGGAGCAGGAGGAGGAGGACGAGGGGGAGGAGGAGGAGAAGGAGAAGGAGGAGGAGGAGGAGGAGGAGGGGGGGGATAATTCGCCGGCCCAACGGGCCAGAGGCGTGCTAAGATCTCCGGTAACTGGTTAACAATTGTATTGTACTAGTTCGCGCGCGCGGGGCGGCCCCTGGGGGTCCCCCGGCGAAAAGTACCCCGCCCGCCGCCTGGGAAGGTCCCGCCCGGTTCAACTCAGAGATGGTTTTCCTTCTGGGTGCGGCCTCTCAGGCCGCCCTGAGCGCGCCAAGAGTGCCCCAAGAGGCCCCCAAGATTGCTCAAGAGGCCCCCGAGACGTTCAAAGAGCGCTCCAAGGCGCCGAAGATGACCCCAAGACGGCCCAAGAGACCCCCAAGACAGCCGAAGAGGCCTTCAAGACGCCCCAAGAGCCTTCCAAGAGGCCTCCGAAGAGGGCCCCAAGAGGCCAAAATCGTTGATTTTCATTGGTTTTTCCGATGTTTTTTGCGTTCTGGCTTTTTCGGCTTCCGGACGCTCCAAGACGACCCAAGAGGCGCCCAAGATCGCTCCAAGACGGCCCACGAAGCTCCCAAGACGGCCCCGAAACGGCCCAAGAGGGCCCCCAAGACGGCCCAAGTGCCGCCCAAGACGGACCAAGAGGCCCCAAGACGGGCCCAAGAGGGGCTCAAGAGGGATACAGAGAACTGAAAAATCGAGCCCTCCGCCCCAGAAGCCGCCCAGGAGGTCCCAAAGAGGCCCCAAGAGACCCCCAAGAGGCCCCCAAGACGCCCCAAGAGGCGCCCAAGAGGCCCAAAAGAGGCCCCAATTCCCCCGCCACCCCCACAGACGGTCGCCACGAATCGACACGAACCTGTTCCACCGGGGCATCTTCACCACAAAAGGCCGAACGCAACGACTCAACAAAAAAAAGCCCCCGCTCCCTGCAGCTCCGCACTGCCGACGACCTCTCATCCAGTCGACCGCGGTGCGCAATACGGGCCGGCGGAATGAGCGAAGCGATTAATAATAGGAATAGGGATAGGGATAGGAATAGGAATGGGAATAGGAATAGGAATAGGAATAGGAATAGGAATAGGAATAGGAATAGGAATAGGAGGGAGGGAGGAGAGGAAGAGGAAGAGGAAGAGGAAGAGGAAGAGGAAGAGGAGGAGAGGAGGAGGAGGAGGAGGAGGAGGAGGAGGAGGAGGAGGAGAGAGGAGAGGAGGGAGGAGGAGGAGGAGGAGGAGGAGGAGGAGGAAGAGGAGGAGAGGGAGGAGGAGGAGGAGGGGGGGGGGGCCAAGCCACGGGCTGAGGAGCCCCCCCCCCCCCCCTCCGCCGCGCGCCAGGGGCCGACCGCCGTCGCCCCCTTCGTGCCACGCCGCGGGCCATAGGCCAGCGGGGGGGCCCCAGCCTGGGCTCAGGCGTGCAGCCCACCGCGGGGCAGGTGCGGCAGCCGCGACAGGAGGCGCCCGCAGGCGCCAGCCGCCGCCGTGAGCGGCATCAGGAGCCACGCCCAAGGAGGGCGCGTGGCACAGGAGGGATCGAGAGCGGCGAGCACAGCCTCGCCTTCTTGTTCGCCTCGCTGCGGCGCAGGAGCTGCTGGCCAGCCACCACTCAGCGCAGCAGCCCCAGCGCCAGCAGCAGCACCAGCGCAGGCGCAGCAGCAGCGAGATGGCTACGAGGGCGCAGCAGCAGCACCAGCGCCAGCAGCGCTCCAAGTCAGCTGACAGAGACTGGACTGGAGACGTTGGCGCCATTGGAGGGCGACCCTGGGTATGGGCCCGAGGCGACAACCAGCACTACCAACGCCAGCGCAACGGACACCAGCAGCACAACGCACAGAGGCAGCAGCACAGCCAGCAGCAGCAGCAGCAGCAGCAGCAGCCTCACACCCACAAACACCAACAACAGCCAGCCCACTACCAGCACCAGCAAAAGCAACCACAGCACCAGCAGCGAAGCGACAGCGCCCAGCACTGGAAGGATTGGGCACCATGGAGGAGCACTTCAGCCAGAAGGAGGAGCAGCAGGCGCAGAAGGAAGGACCAGCAGGACACACCAGCTGCAGTCCACATCGGCAACTTCCAGTACAGCCTGCAGCAGAAGGCGGTCCTGGACAGCATCACGCCTGTCTCCTTCGCCGTGGCGGTGGAGCATGAGAGCTGGTCCGCCCCACCCGACAACGAGGAGATGCGCTACGTGTGGTACAAGACGAAGTGCCACAGGCTGGGCCGCCTCGCCGAGAACATTGCTGGCGCCAGGTTGGCGGGTTTGTGCACGTCGAGCCTCGAGCAGGAAGCAGCGACCACTGCCACGAACATCTCCTTCGTCCTGCCCCACAAAGAGCGCATGAAGCAGCTCAGGGCTACACTGGAAAAGCTGGAGGAGGAGCGCACCGAGATGGAGAAGCGGCTCAACATGATGCTCGACCAGGAGGCGGCGGCCGCGCGAACCATCAAGGTCTACAAGACCCTGCTGAGGGAAACCAGAGACCAGATGGCCAAGGCAGCGGGTGTGAAGGAGGAATCGTCGGAGGAGGAGGGGTACGAGGACCGCACCAGAGGACGCACGCCACACCCAGCTGCGAGGAGGAAGCGCGACTCAGCTGCAGCACCAGTTGCACCAGCCGCAGCTCAGCCAGTCGGAGCAGCAGCTGCCCCCTCAGGAGCAGCAGCAACAGCACCAGCAGCCCCAGCACGGCATGAATCACGACGTAGTGGCGGCAAAGACGAAGAGGAACAAAGTTCTGGAGGACAAGCTCGGCTACCGGCAGGAAGGACCAGCGCCGACAACAAGGACGATATCAAAGACGCCATCAGGAAGCTGACCGAGAGGCTCGACTTGCAGCAGAGAAGGGAACAGCAGCAAAGTGACATGCTGGCGCAGGCAGAGCTTAAGCACAAGAGCGAGTTGAAGGCTTGCGAGAAGACCATGGCGCAAAATATGATCCGCACGACAGAAGCTCAGCTGGCCAAGCAGCAGGAGTGGCGCACCTGGGAGGTCAACGCGCTCAAGAGACATCGCAACGCCAAGCTGGAGGAGGAGGAAGCGAAGACATACGAGGCACGGAGAGGCAGCCAGAGGACACAGGAGGAGAGGGCCAAAGGGATGCTCGTGGACTTGCAAAAGCATCTCGAGTTGGAAAAGAAGATGTTGAGCGAGGAGATGCAGAAGGAAGACCAGAGAAGAGCAGCCATCTACACGCAGCAGGTCGAGAAGGCCAGGCA